GATAACAATGGTGCTTGCTCAACAGTTCTTGCCGCCACACTATGTGATGTAGTAAGGATGTGTTTGTGTGTCCTAGTAGTTCAAGTGGCCTCATTGCATTTCCATATATTAGAAGTGAAAAATCATGTTGAGGGAGCGGATCATTGAAGAATTGAGACTTGACCTTGTATGATGGTGTGGAATCATATTTGGTTTTCCCAGGAATTTTATGTATATATGATTCAGTAATGGCTCCCTTCAATGTGGTAGATTACACCTTGATTATATGGAAAATGCGGGAAGGCCATCCATTTTCTGAAAACTATTGAATTGTTACTTCCTTCCCTTTGTATTGGATCTTATGAGGTCTGTTTAATAATGTTCAGATTAATTATTTCTGTAGCTTGTTGGTCGACTTGCTAATCAGCTCGACCTCTTTTCATTGGTAAATCACTTTTTGTCGTCTGTCAAATAATCTATATACTTATTGGAGTGTCAATCTACTTTGCTTAGGATTTAAGGTTTAGGGTTTAGGTGACTTCCTCCTAGTAGGGAGGTAGCTAGGCAAACTGGTTCTTTGTGGCTTTCCTCCAGGCTATGTTTTCATTCCTTTAGGACTTGCTCATTCCCATCCTTCTATTGTGCCCATCAGCAATGTAGTAGGGTCCTCGAATCTGCTTATTCTGACAGCCTAGTACAGAAATAGGTAAGCCTGCTAATGCCAATTTGGTATCCTTCAAAGGCAAGTGAAAGCTCCAGTAACTCCAACGCCCTCGACCAGGTAGCCCAGTACAGTTAGATTGTCTTACTGATCTATACTAGTTCGCTCTCCGAATTGCTAGTAGGAATGCTCATAAAGTCCCCTTCGGTGGAAGAACTGGCTCTTAGGTGGGGAACAATAATAAGAACAGCTTCAGTGGAGAATGTGGTTAGGCCATCAAATTATCTGAAACTGTTTAATTTTTACATCCTTCCCTCCCTATTTGATCTTTAAGGTATGTTAATTATGCTAAAATTAGTTCTTTTAGATGAGTTGGTGTTGTCTTGACAATTCTATGTGATATTATTACAGTCTTGTGCCGGTGGCCCAAGGCAACCATGGCATGATTTACACTGTAAAATTGACGGTCCGGCTGCTTATGATATAATGACCAATTTTGAACAAAGATGGAGAAAAGCAGTAAAATGGAGAGATTTTAAGATAAGAAAGGTCAGACACTGGCATGATGATGCCTTGCTAAAGCTAGACCGGATCTCGTGGATACTGTCTCCGTCTTCTAGTCCTGATGGTGACCGTGTTGTACATGTTACCAATGAAGAAGATCCTGAAAATTGGCATGTACAGGTTGGTGATTGATATTCCTATTAGCCAGATTGTGATCTTGGGTTTTTTTTTTTTTGGGATACCAAAGTTAGTTTAAAGCCAGAATCCTGTGACATTTATTTGTGTTTCTGTTTTTTTTTCAGGCTTGATGTTTACATTCATGACTATCTATTGAAAAGAAAACTACATGCTTCTGCAAAAGCCTTCATGACTGAAGGGAAGGTTGCCCCAGACCCAGTAGGTAATATTGTCAGTTGACTTTTTGTATATTGTATCAGGGTTAGTTGACTTTTAAATAACCATAAATATTTTTTTCCCAGCCAGTTGATTAAGAATTCTTTATAAGTAAAACCTTTTCGGCAGAATACTGGATGGAGATATACATTCCATCAAAACCTTTAGTTTGAATTTTCAGCTATTGATGCGCCTGGAGGATTTCTCTTTGAATGGTGGTCCGTCTTTTGGGACATCTTCATTGCTAGGACAAATGAAAAACATTCTGAGGCTGCTGCGGCTTACATAGAGGTCCCTCTAAGCTTTAGATTTTTTGGCTATTTGTGGATTAGTGTTTTAAGGACTTCTCTCGCCCCTCCCCTTCCTTTCTTGGTGAGATGAGGTTAATCTGTTGCAATTTGTTTTTGGCTTTATAATTTAATATCAGACACAACAAGTGAAAGCAAGGGAGCATCAACAACAGCTGCAAATGCAGCAATTGCAACTTATGCAGCAGCACAATGCTCAATTGCAAAAAAGGGATCCTAACCATCCTTCACTTGGTGGTCCTATGAATGCTATGAACTCCGAAGGAATGATGGGGCAGCCATCAGCCAGTGTACTGGCCATGAAAATGTACAAGGAGCGAATGAAACATCCTCAGTCAATGGATTCAGAGACATCTTCAGTTCTAATGGATGCCAATAGGATGGCCATTCTCAAGTCAGCAACCAATCATCAAGGGTAACTGCCATACAACTTTTTTGTGTTCTTGATATCAAATAAACCACGGCCAGTCAACCTATTATGATTGCATCATTGGTTGCTTTTGGTCTTCTTATTGATTCAGCCAGTTCGTACAAGGCAACTCTGGGAGCATGTCTGCTGCTCTGCAGCAAATGCAAGGACGATCTCAATTGACCACCGTAACTACTTCCCCTATGTGTTCTATATATGCTATTTATGTATTTGCTCCATCTTTCCTTTATTTTACCATGCTTGGGCATGCTATTTTTAAATTTGTAGGATGTTAAAGCCGAAGTGAACTTGGGTGCAACTAAGAAATCTTTGCCTATGGATCCTTCATCAATATATGGGCAAACAATTTTGCAGTCAAAGTCTGGACTGGGCGGTGCAGGTAACATTATTAATCTTCCACAATTAATCAATTTACTAGTTTAACAAAATGTTATTTCGTTATGAGCAGGAATATGAATTCTTATTTTCTGTGTTTATTGAGGATTTCTGTATGTGAATTTAAGTTGCAAGTTATTCCTTTTCAATTTCCTTTTATGCTCTTCTTCATAATTATGGGAACAAAATCTATCTATGGGAACAAAATCTATCTATAAGAACAAAATCTAGCCATTTGTTGACACTGGTTTGAGTTCATACGACCATCTCTCTCAGTCACTAAGTGTGCTCCTATTGGAAGAAGATCTGCATTTGCGAAGCACTCGATCATACCTTAAAAAAAATCTGGTCTGTCGACCATGGCCTTCATAAGATCTAGGGTGCTCCTGGTAGGAAGCTGAAGAAAAGCTCGAATCCAGATGAAGAAGAGATCAGAAGGGAGAGCTTTGAGAACAAGAGCCCAATAGGGTCTGGTTAACGG